GGGGAATTCAGAGATTTCCCACCTGCCCTTCTGGTTTGGTTTGGTCTCCTCCTTCAGGAGGGTAAGTGTCAGTCCTCACTTAATTTTCCTCCCTCTCTAAAACCTCCCTGGGGCAGAGGCGCGGGCCCGGAAGCAGGCAGCTGAGAAGGAACAGGAGCTGCTGAAACAGCAAATGCAGGAGCAGCAGCTGCAGATGGAAGCACAAGAGAGGAGTCTCCAGGAAAATATAGACCAACTGAAAGAGAAGCTGGAGAGGGAAAGAGAAAACCTAATAAGAGAGCAGAATATGATGTTGGAGCATAAACTGAAGGTAAGTCTCGCCGTGGCCTCAGTTGTGCTCGATGGCCATTGTCCTGGTACCTCAGGTGGGGTGGGGGAAGGTTACAGCAAGACCATGGAAGGAAGCACCATTGCCATTTACGGCTTGTGCTTTATTAAGATGCTGAATCCTTTCTTCCTCCTCCTCCTCCTCCTCTTCCTCCTGCTCCTGCTACTTCTCCTCTTCCTCCTCCTCCTCCTCTTCTTCTCCCTCTTCCTCCTGCTCCTCCTCCTCATCTTCCTGCTCCGCCTCCCCTTTTTTCTCCTCCTTCAAAGCTTTTGAATTCATAGACTCTTGAGGAAAGCATGCCCCGCCCCCACCCAAGTCTTTGGAGAATATAAATAGGGTTTGAACTCTTATTCTGGAGGATTTTAAATTGATTAAATAGATATTCCAATCACGTGTATCTCATATGAGCAGCAACTGGTTTGCTTTTTCAAGGTCATCGCCAATTATTAGGAACCCTTCTACCACCGAAAGACCCTGAGATAGATCTATGTGGACAATAAATGATCAGAAATGTCCAGACTTCAAAATACAGGGAAGTTACAGCTTCTAAGCTTGCGGAATTGTCCCCAAATGTGGGTAGTTTATCCAAGTTATCATAGGGCATAAGTAGAATTCTGATTGCCTATGTGGACATGTTTATAACAGTTTTCTAGAACAGCTTGTAAGTTCCTGGTATTTCTAAAATTTGGTTAATTGTATTACCCCAGTAGGACTGAAAATTAGTGCCTGCAGACCAAGGCTACTTCTCAACTGGTGTTTTTACTGGAACATGTTACATTCGTCCTAATGTTAGGCTTCGCATTCTTGCAAAATCCTAATGATTTGTGAATGTTAATAAGGCTGTGAACTGTGCTTCTGCTCAAAGTTCAGGTTCTAGGCATGGCATATTCCTTGTCCAAAATTCTCCAGATTTTTGAGAGAGGACAATTTTAGTAGTAAAACCAAGGTATTTTGGCCAAGTTCTTAAATATAAAATGTAATTCTTACAAAATTGGTTATTTTTAATGTTTTTTTCCCTCCTCACTTTTTTTTTTTTTAGGTTCAAAGCGATCTGCTCAATGAAGGATTTAGAAAGGAATCAGAAAAGATGAATGCAGAGATAAATCATTTGAAAAGTATGATTGATAGTACTCAAAATGATGATACTCCCTGGATAGCACAAATCTTAGACAAACTTGCCAAGGAGATCCCTTTAATATTGTCTGTTCCTGGTAAACTTCTTGGCAATGCTGTGAGAGGCGTGAGCTCACTAATTAAAGAAAAATAGTTCTCCTTTTAAAGAAATTATATGGATACATGCTCTGTCCTATTTTTGGTGTGTATGCTTTTTGCTCTCATTCAGCCAAATTTGAAACATAAAAAGTGCCTATAGAGGATTTAATGCCTGGCCCACATTAGGTAAAATAAATGGACATACATTTTTATATAGCACATTCACTTTTAGGAAATATACATGTGAAAAATAACACACACACACACACACACACACACACAAACAGAGGCAATCAATCGATTGAGGCTTCACTTTAAATGACCAAAGGTTGGAAACTACTTAAATATTCATTCATATAAATCGGTAATATAAATTTAGCATGTACATATACTGGAATACTATATAGCCAGTAAATAAATTGAGAGTGCAGCTCTATTTTTACAAATATAGAACAATCTTGAAAATATACCATAAAATGAACACAAGGTGTGTATAATATGTTCACTGTAAAAAAATGTAATTATTGTGTGCAAACATACATATGTGCACATAGAATATATCTGGGAAGATTTATTTGAAACTAGTGTCCTTGGTTACTTCTGGGGAGAACTCAGTGTCATCAGGGTGGAAGAGAGCACACTTTCTATTACATACTCTATTTTTTGAATCTTGTAAATAAAACTTATATTACCATTTCACAAATAAATAAATAACAATAAATATAAAGTATTATAATGCCACTACTACTACTAATGAAGAGAATGTGAAATTGGCTATTCGGTGATGAAATTGGTTGTTGCTTCTAGAAACGGCATCGACCTGCAATATTAGGGGGTCTAAGACTCAGATCAGTGTGAGACAGTATAGCATTTATATCCTAATCTTGTGTTTATTTTGGCCTTGGTTCCTAAGTCTCTCACATTTGCTTTAAAACGAAGATATAAACTTTCATGTGGCCCTTTGAAATCTCAGAAGAATAGCTTCTAGTTCCTATCTTTGTATTACACTTTTAAATGATTAGAAGTAGATTACCCATCTTAAGAATATGCACTGCGAGAGGGATCCCATCATCCTTAAAAGTTCAGTGGTGGCCTCTCTGCTATAGGCAAGAACAGAGGGAATTGTGCCATTGCAGAACTGGGTGTCCTGATAATGTTGGGGATGATAAGCCCTGATACATGAAGGCCAGGTGTTGGCACTTAAATGCCAGAAGCCACGTACATACAGTGATACTAACGAGCATCATGGTTTCCCTTAGTCTGTTCAGGCCGCTCTAAGAAGTTACCGAAACTGGGTGGCTTTTGTAACAAATCTTTATTTCTCCCATTTCTGGAGGAGGCTGTTAAGTCTGAGGTCAGTGCCAGCATTGGTGGGTTCTTGGTAAGGGCCCTCTTTCTGCTTTACAGAGGGCTGCTTTCTTGCTGTTTCCTCACATAGTGGAGAGTTGGGGGGACCTTTCATGACTCTCTGTTATAAGGGCACTAATTGGATTTATGAGGGCCCCCCCTCATTACCTAATCACCTCCCAAAGCCCCAGTTCTAAATACTATCACATTGGAACATTGTGGGCTAGGGTTTCAACAAATGAATTTTAAGGGAACACAACATTCAGTTCATAACATGGTTGAAGTGACAACCTGCTGGGCCTGATCAGAAAGAATTCTGAAGATGGTGAATACAACGAAGAACCTGTAGGGTCCAAAGGGACGGGGAGAAAGGGCTGGCAGAGTGGTTCAGTTGGTTAAGAGCTCATTGAAGAGCACGAGCTCTGAGCAGTAGGGTCGCTGGTTTCATTCCCAGGCGGAGCTGAGCTGCTGCTGAGCTCCCAACAGGTGGCAGGATGGCTCAGTTAAAAAAAAAAAAAAAAAAAAGGGATGAGGAGAAAACAACCAAATGGAATCTAGATGCATCATGAGGCTGAGAGGCAGTCATGAGATGTTTCAATCCCTACCTAGCCTTGATCTAACCCAGTGTGAGCTCCTGAGCCTGTCTCCTGGTGGGGTGGGCGGACAGGATTTCAAGACAAAGGACCCTGAACCTGGGACAAGGAATAATGATAATGATTTTCCCAGTCATTTACATAGGGAACCTCTGCCCATTTACTTGGTCTCTGTGTCTTAGGGAAATTGGAATGCCCGAACAATTTGAGGATGCTAGGAATCAGGACATAAGTTGGCAGTGATACTAGATATGGGAAAGACATTACAGTCTC